TTTGGGGTTCCTAGAATTTGGGGGCCCTTCGGACCACCTCATAAGAGCACACTGGCGTTACGCCATTGGTAGTAGGGTGTAGCTATGAGAGCAATTTACATATCTTTTTTTAGACTTAGACAGTTGATTAAATTATATAAAAGCAATTTGCGTTTTCCAAAACGCAGCTAGGTTAAACGTAAAACTACCGTGGTATGCGTGAATAAATTTTGCTTTCAGTCACTGAATCGCTGTGAAGGAATAGCGCCCTCCTTTGTCGACGCCATTGTGATTATAAGGTCTTTTCCGTGTTTATAAAGTCTAGGGAGTCCTTACAAAGATCGTATAGCGCCGGGGTGTATGCCGTCAGTCTTCAAACTAAAAATTTATTGGAGTTAAAAGATAAGTATATATTGTATATTTTATAATATACCATTCCCGGCAAAATTTCGGTTGTTAAGAAAAATCTGATTTTTATATATGTTATGAAGATTTAGTACGAAATTGCTAAGTTAAATGAATTTAGACATTCCTAAACATGAAAAAAATAAAAAATAAATGAATATAATAAATGTGGATGGATTTTTCATGCTTGAATTTGCGATGTCTGCGAAGAAATATAGTAGGCGCCGAAAACATTAGCCTATCCAACACCACTACTAGGCTAGGCCTAGCCTTACTTCAACTCTATTTAGGTTCTGTTATCGCACACAAAACGCCCGACATGATATTTTCCGTTACTACGGTATTGACACTTGTGAAACATAATATTTCAAAGGAATTATTTCAAATCTGTAAAAAAAATCATTCTGACCGAGATAGGCCTATGGAAAAAAATTATAAACATTTTTTTCCAGCAACTATTTCATTAATGCACCAGCTTGTGATGAACAACCAAATGTAAACTATCGAAGCACAGTGGAAGGCCAAAATTAAATGAGTTCTGGAGGCATTGTATAAGTTTGATGGAAGTACAATTAATCAGGAAGGCAGTACACACACTCACATGCTTTTAGCAACTATTGCTAATAACTGTTAAAAACACATCTCTGAAACCCACTCGTAAATGATGTAGCTATTCTGCAGGACTATCCTTTAACATATGAACTGCATGTACATTAGTACACGCACTGACACTCATCACAGCTCTTTGCCATTCAATAAAATGTCGGCTCATAGCGCGCAATGGTAAAGAGTCTCCATAGAACCTATCTCGCTAATTACCATTGCAGCAGTAGTTCGAATCTCACGAACTTCGCGGTAGTTGTGAACTTTGTTTTCTTTATTTTTTACTTCACATTTTTTTTTCAATACTACAAGTATTTTGGGTTTCCGTGTTGTTTATTTTACGTTATACTTTTTAACGACTTCTCTTTTTATTGCAATTTCAACTGTATTTCTCAATATAGCAATGAGGAAAAGCCCTGTGTTCTGTTGTACAAACAGACATAGTAAGTCTAGGTAATATTGATATTATTTAATGCTCAGATAATAATATGAACAGGGTTAGATTCCTATACTAAATAAAGTGAAAATAACGTAAAATAAAGTGAAAATAACGTAATAATGAAAAAATAAGTGAAATAAAGATTTTCCTTTTCCTTGTAAATTACCAAATAATAGAAATAATAAAATTATGTAAGTAAAATTACCATTATATTTTGTTTATTATTATATAATTGTTATAGTTTGTAATGTATAATTTAATTATATTAATCGTAATATAATATAATTTGTAATTAATGTTATAAAACATTTCATTATAATTGTGAATAAATTATCAATAATATTATAAGATTGTGTTAAGCTTACGATGATCAATATTACAAATAGTTTTAATTGTTTTAATACAAAAAAAACCCCGCAAATTTTCGTTGTCGATTCAACATTGAATAGACGTTGAATGTAGGTTGCTTAATCAACTGATCTAATTTCAACGTTGATTCAACGTCAATATACAACGTTAAACCAAGGTCACATCACAACGTTGTATTGAGGATGAGAATCAGCGTTGGATAGACGTTTACTTAAGACCGACACAATTTCTACGTTGATCCGTGTATTGCAGAAAGTTGATCCAAAGTCACATCACGTTGTTCTATCGACGACCAGAATCGAAATTGAATAGACGTTGAATCGGTTGTTCAATCGACTGAAATGATTTTAACATCCTACGTATATTCAACGTCGATTCTCTTCCTACGTACGTCGTGCATAATGTGACGTTGATTTAACGTCAGTGTATTTTTTCTTTGATTTGTTCATAGTTCTTTTAAGCGATAGTCTTAATAATTCACATCACCAGTGTATAGTCAAATGCAGTGCCGATAAATGTCTAATGTCTTACTAACCATTTTCGGCAACCATAGAGATGTAATTACTACGGTATGTGTGATGCATCGTAGAAAGTGAAACTTAAAAACATTGTCTTGAATGTATACTTACTTTAGGCCTACCTATTCAAAGCCGTGAGTCCACATCTTAGTTGGGGCTGATTTGGATAAATAGGACTCTGTAGATGAGACATGACACTCTTCATCATAATTCATCATCATCTATTTAATTAATAGCTGTGATGTTCCATAGAAAATAAAACTAAATTGTCTTTGAGGTATTTAATTTACTTTACCTACTTCATCTTATTACTATTATTAACTACTGTATTATTATTATTATTATTATTACACGCTTTTTCTCATACTTCTCAAATTATAATAAAGGCACGCGCACTCCATTCGTGTATTATACTACGTAATTCAGATGTTTGCAGACATATCGGTTAACGGTCTTACGTTACCTGGGTCATTTATGCAATTTTCAGGCATCTTCTTGACTTACGAACTTACATTGAGGATGAAAAATGAGGGGATCACCCTACCTCCCATCTCAAAAATATGTGGGTTTTGGAAAGGGTGTCCCCTTCCATTTGAGATTTTTTGAAGTAGACGGCTAGACGCGCTATTGGTGACATCTGAAAAGAAGTTTAAATAGAAAGTGTATGTTTTACCAGAGTATCCTTACTAGGTAACATATGTATACACGAATACATGAGAAGCACACAGACAAGACGAGTGATATTTTTTTTTCACGGCTACCGAAAGTGGGTGGCTAGCCACCCTATTCACCCCCTAGATCAGCCACTGTGGGAGGAAGGGGTGGTGAACGTCTTTCCACCCCTTGCTGGATCCGGCACTGCTTAACTTCGTAAAACGTATTACGGTATCAGTGGCAGCCGGCCCGGGCCGCCAAAATTTGTCAACATAATTAACAAAACTCATGGAGAAAATTATATTAAAATTTAAGTTTGTGAGTGCCATTTCTGGCAATTTATTTTTTATTGTCTGTTTATTTGCAACGATAAACGATAACGATAAAAAGCTAAAAAGTAATTGTTCACATAAAAGAAATAAATACGACATTTTTTACACTGGGACGATTTGATAACGAATTATCGTGTATACCATAACAGAATATTTTAATAAATCAATCCAAATGAGGTCATAATCAAGAAAAAATTTAAGATCGTTGTTACTACTGTACTACGATTTTATCGATTTTCTATTATTATGACGTCATTTGAATTGATTTGTCATAAAATGTTGTTATCGTATACACGATAATTCGTTATTGAATCGAAAAAGAAGATAATCTGGAGAGCCTATGTACGTCATTGATTTGAAGATGATCCATGTTAAGAGAGCCCACTATCTATAAACGGCCTAGCTATATTTCAACGTCCATAACCTTTGGTTATTTGGGGGTGAAGGGTGAGGTGGTGAAATAGCCCATGCTATCTTGAAAAGAAGCTAATGGGACTTTTCTAGATGGTCTTCTTTACGAGGTTATTTTTTTAAACTAAAGAAGGGTTTCAATTTCGCGATTTGTTTACATGATGAAATTGTATACCGGTATATATTTTTATTTTAAATATTTAATTAATTTGTATTTGAAAGGTTGATGAAAACTGTATTTTTCTAATTTATGATATTTATTAATTCTGATGTCCGTACTTTTTTTTTCTGTTTTAATGTATTTAATTTTTTTTTTATTGTTGTACAACAATTTCAGATTTGTTCTGCTTTTTGCATTTTATCAAAGGCATACCTGAATAAATAAATAAATAATAAAGTGATTAAATATTTTTGAGAATGATTACATATTTCTGAAATGATAAAAGAAAAGAATTATGTTATGATGGATTTAACACATTTATAATATTGTGTTCGGCATTTGCGGAGACAATTGTTTAAATGTTTAATTAGCCTACGTTATAAATTATTATAAAAGAGTTACGCTAGGTCTTATGTATTAAAACATATTACGCTAATTAGTAACTTTAGAAACAGATGAAATGAATAGATATGTTATATAAAATAACACAAAAAAGTCATTAGGAATCATTACTAGAATAAATTATGCCCTACAGTATTATAGATGAAAAATATCATATATATCAAATATTATCAAATTAGTAAACGCGATAATGCCAATACGAATACTGTTGGCATATATAAGTGTTAAAATACGGAAGGTTTTAATGGTAAGATTAATAATACACGTTAAAAATACTAAAACGAATAATTTGGACAAAATAATATACACGTCAGTAATGAATAAAACGAATAACAACTTTATACTAAATAATAAAAAAGTTTAAGCTCATATGGGCAATGTGCAATATGCGCTATATAAATATAACATTATTATTATTATTATTATTATTTGAGTATAGGCATAACCAGGCCTATGAGACCTGGACCATGGAGATATTATATTTTACTATAAAATCGATGAAATACAGTAGGCCTTTAATAAACCTTTAAAATCCCTAAAATTAATTATCATAGTTCGAGGCCCCTTGACCACTTTCGAAAGTGTTTAGCGACGCCATACCATGCCCAAATTTTTTTTCCCGTTGGGGACATCAGCCCCCCCTCCCTCACCCCCGATGGGGGACCTTTGACCCCCGCCGTGGAAATCCTGGCGTCACCACTGAACAACAGAGTCATTTGGGATGTCTTTGGGTACTGTAATTTCAATTCATTTGTGTTTTGCAATCAAAAGTCAAAAGTTGAGGGAGACAAAACATAAACAAAACAAAAGGATAGGAAGTGAGTTTCCGCTGGTCTTTTTAATCAAGGCCAATGATCTCTTATAAATAAGAATCAAATTCTTCATCTAAAATTCCGACAGGAAGATAATCATGTGTTCAATAGTGACACACTGACGTGTCCAAAGAACTAGCTATAATATAGTAACCTTATTTTAGCCAGGCCTACATAATAAAAAGGCAAGGCCCAAAAAGGCAAGCTCTCCGTCCAAAGCAAGCACGACTCAGCGGACCGTACCCGAGAAGACAGGCATGCTTCGATATTTTCGTCTGGGCTTAGGCCTGCAAACCCTTTACCTGTCACTTCTTTTTATATGCTTTTTTGTTGTAGGTAGGTTGTTGTTTTTTTGCGGAATTAACAGTACAGTAGAATAATACATTTTGCTGAACATAATAGTCAATGATGGACTCTGATGTTAATCTATGTCTAGACTATGTGTAAGTTTTCTGGGTGTTGATGCAGATGTCTTTTAAACTATAAATGTACTGTATACAGCTCAGTATAATGTCTTGATTGAATGTCATCCCAAAGAGTATAAATAGAACAAGAGAGCAAAGTTCCGTTCGTAAAAACGTCACGCCTGTGTAGGACGCCCACTAACGGTTGTATATTCTTTTTATTACCCATTGCAGCGCTGCGCAGCGCGGTAGAAGTACGCCCGCTATAAACTCAGTAAGCAGAAAACAAAAGTACAGTATCTTGTGGAGAACAGATAAACAGACAAACCGACCGTGCGCGATGGAGTACTGGGTAATAAAACACATACAAGCGTTCGTTGGCGTCCTACACTAGCTGCGTAAGGGCGTATCGTTTTTTTACGCTCTCAATGAGCGTTGTTGGCTCTCTTGTTCTATTTATACTCTTTGGTCATCCTCACTGCTCTGTTTCCATGGTGAGACTCTCCGCATACACACCAAGTGACCATGCATGTAGGTCTAGCTCACATATAGAAAAATGGATGATCATTATGCTGCGTTCGCATCAAGGCTGATTCTGGTCCTGAATCCAAAGAGAAAATCGTGAAAAATGGGTTCAGTGGTAAAGAATATGACCGTTCACATCAAAATCATACGATTTTAAATTCCAGATCTGGACCGATGGATCTGAGAGCCAACCAATCAGCAAGAAGCTTGGTTGCTTCAAACCAATCGAACGCATACGTACTTAACCCGAACTACCATGTTCCGTGCGTAATGTGAACGGCCGACATGATATTTTCTGTTAGTATTGACACTTGTGAAATATAATATTTCATAGGAATTATTTCAAATCTGTTAAATGATTATGACCGAGATTTTGACAATTAACAAACATATCTCAGGCCTACTCGATCGATCACAGTGTGCGAGATGCGAAGTACAAAAACCAATTTAATTAGAGAGGGCGCACTTTATTGACTATATAAAGTATACATAAAAGCGAGAGCATTCTAGTGGATGAGATTTACCTCTGAATTTGCCTAGTAACGAAGAATTTGTCAAGAAAATGATCTATGAGAAATACAGTTAAACTTGCCTATGTTGAGTAATTTCTAAGTCGATCTAATTTTACATGCCAAATTGTTGTGTTTTCAATTAATTAACAATCTATAAGTCGAATTTTATCTGAGTCGAACAATATTTCAATGGCATTTTGGATTCAAGTTAGGCAAGTTCAACTGTAGTCTGTGTTTCTCATTTTTTTAAATCTTTTGCGTAAAACTAAAATTTATGCCAATATTTTTCTATTGTTTATTTTTTCTAAAAAACAATCTTTTTAGTGAAATTTTGCTGGGAATGGGGCTTTAACAATAGAGATTAATTTCTCAATTCTCTCTCCATGCATTGCTTTCTATTAAATCTACAATTTTTAACATAAATGAGTGTTTTTCCAGTTTCAGAAACATCAAAATCTGAAAAACCGAATGTGCTTTTCATCGTCATAGATGACCTCCGTCCTGCTCTCGGCTGCTTTGATGACAGAATTTTGACTCCAAATATTGATCAGCTTGCCCAACAGTCGGTGATATTCACTCAAGCCTATGTCCAGGTTGTTGAAATGAAAACTGCTTGGAATTTGCATAAATAATTAATATAATGTGTCAAGCAATGTGAATGTAACAGCCATTGTCAATTTTGATTCTTTTAAGCCAGGCTCTAAAAAAGAAGTTGTTGTTTTCCATGTGTTTTTACAGTTGATTTTTGTTTGATGAAAAACTTGGGAACAGACCGCCTTTGTGGTGGATGATGAGAGTTTATAGTACAGGGTTACCAGGTAGCACAGACAGGAAGGGACCCCTAGGGGCAAAGTACGTCATTGATCTAGCTACCAGTCCACATATCAAGCACCTTTGATCATTCAATTTGGAATTGCTGCTTTATAAATATTTGGCATTTATATTATTACTATTAATGCAGTTCCAATTTAGTGTGTAAGTAAGAGTAGGCTATATTCTGGCAAAAAAATTAAAAGCTACTGTAAATCTATATTATGCAATTACTGTTTCATTTGTATTTCAGCAAGCTGTATGTGCCCCAAGTCGCATCTCGTTTTTGACAAGCAGACGGCCAGACACAACTAAACTGTACAACTTTAAATCCTACTGGCGAACATTTGCAGGCAACTACACAACTTTACCGCAGCATTTCAAAGAGAATGGATATTTCGCAGCTAGTGTTGGAAAAGTTATGCATCCAGGTAATGGATGTTGGGCTGAAGTATGAAAAAAGGTCATTGCACTCTGGGTCACTGGTATGCATAAGTAAAGGGTCTAGTATCCCGCTATCCCTATGATAATAATCAAATGATTTTACCCCGATTCCACAGTAAAGATGTTTCTGTTTTACTGACTTGTAATAGGATAACCTCTTGCTTTCTAGCATGGACGCATACCGTAATGCAGATGTGACCGACATAATTTTAAGTACTGTAACATGTTAATCAGTACATTATTTTTTTCCCCTCATAGGTAAAGCGTCAGGGGGAAATGATGATTACCCGTATAGTTGGTCAATCCCTGCTTATCACCCACCGACACAACTGAACAAAACATCTAAGGTTAGTAAGAGCAAATCTATAACAAAGCTCGTTCAACCGGCTGGGCACATTGAATTAGAGTTTAGGGAGGGGTTTGCGCAGTGTTTTTATGGTTGAGGCTTCATTGAGGTCAGGAGTTCAAATGTGTGAATTATCTGTTTGTCTACAGATAGGAATATATATATTTTTTTTTTTTAATGCATAAGTTCTGTTAAATTATATTCCTCCCTAGGTTTGTGAGAATCCAGATGGGACCCTCCATGAAAATTTGATCTGTCCTGTTGATGTTGCAAAGATGCCCGGCAAATCGCTACCGGATATACAGAGCACGGACCATGCAATCGAAATCATCAAGAACATTTCTAAACTGACAAAAACTAGCAAAAACTTTACACAACCGTTCTTTTTAGCCGTCGGCTACCGTAAGCCACACGTACCATTTAAGTATCCAAAGGAATATAAGGAACTGTACCCACTGGATTCCATCTGGATGCCACCCAATAACTTCTTCCCTCCGGATCTTCCAACAGTAGCGTGGGAACCATATCAGATGATGAGGACAAGAGAGGATGTCAAGAGTTGGAATATCAGTTATCCTTTTGGACCAGTACCATTAAAATACCAGGTAATATCTTCACTCTGCTACAGTGGAGATTGGCACCATATTTAGAGTCTTGAAATGGGTCTAATGGGGGTGGGAATGTGAAGTGGGGGATCGATTAAGTAAGTGGCGCTGGCTCGCAAAATAAGGTGATGTTTATCTACTTAAAAGCATATTTTTTTTGCTTAAACACTTTTAAGGGGTGGGTACGACTGGGGATTCAAGGTTTTTTTTTTGGAGGGAAAGTGGGGGGGGGCATCATAGCCTTTAAATCCTAGGGTACTAGGTTCAGTTCCTGTAATACAACTCTACTCCCAAAGCCCTATATAGCCTTATAATGCAGCATACGAAGCACCTATGTCATATGCAATTGTTACCTACAACCTGGGCAGTGACGTTTTCATTGCAGTCACTTAAAAAGTTCCTTAAGCTCTGTTCAGACTATCAAATTATTATGTGACAAAAACATGTGACATGCCTAAATATGGTCATGATGACATCACATAATGACCATTTAAGGACATAAAACAGATTTTTTGTCAAATAAAATATGATGGTCAGGCAATAATTTGCCCATTTTTTTTAATGATGAATTCAATTTTTTAAAATAAAATTGCACTAAATTGATTAAGTTCACATTAGTTGGTCCTGGTCCTTTCTTAACGTTCTCTTGGATCTGTCTATACTTTGTTTAGCGAACCTGCCGACTGCAAATATTGATGATTACGAATAAAAACAAAAATTGAAATTTTAGAAAAAAAAATTAGTTAAAAAAAATTTTTTTTTACACCCTCTGCTTCCTTGAAATCTGCAAAGATAAGATATTTATATTTCTTCCTAATTATATAAATTTGAAACATTTAACCATCCCATTTTACATTCCTTCAATATTTTTATTTTCTCCTCCATCTGGATGTTATTGGCAAAACTATTTGCTAAATAAGAAAACAAAATTATATTTTTATTTTGCCGCCCTCCGATGATCTTTAAAGAAGTAAGTGCGCTAAACAAGGAATAAAAGAAGTCTCGCCTTATAAAGCTTTAAAATGATGGATCATTTACTGGAATTGAGTTATACTATTGCCAAAGTTATGAATACAAGTATTATGGCTTCTGAGTACTAAAGTGTACAATACTGCCACATTCTTATTCTAATTACAGCAATTCTGTAATAATGCATGAAGGGCGCCCTCTTGCTAAATTGGAAACTTTTGAACCTTGACCGCTCTGACCATAGCGCATGTAGGGCGACTTTACAACACACGTAACAATTAGAAGTGTCCGATTAACAATGCGCCCTTTCTTTAGAACATAAGGAACAAATTAACGTACTCATTAACGAACTTTGCCATAACGCGAACACCCTATTTCAGATCCATGGCAACGACTAGGGCACCCTCTCCCAAAACTGATTACTTTTCTGTGCCAAATCGATGCTTCTATTTGTTACGCGTAAAATCGCAGAGAACGCCATCTTGTGTTTATAAGATCTTTGATTACAGTTACTCAGTTTAACATTTAGCTGCGGTTTTGAGATGTCATTTCTCGTATAAATAATGAAACAATATACTGTAGTAAGACCAACCTTCCCCTTTTAGGTGGTGTGAAGTGTTGTTTTGAATGGATTTGACAATTGCTTTGTTTTTTTGTAGTAGACTTTCAATTAAACGCTTGCTTGTTTATGCATCTGATCCGGCAGAATTATTTTGCTGCAACTTCCTACATGGATTACGAAGTTGGTAGTCTTTTATCTGAATTGGAAAAGGCTGGTTTCGCTGATAATACTATCATATCATTTAAAGGAGATCATGGTAATGCTATGTTTTATTTGAAGGGGGAGGGGGAGAGGTAACCTAAAGGGTTGGAAGTATGCTGTGAATATTAAAATGAAAGAGGGACCTGGGAAATGTTGAAAACACTGAGCCCTCTGTGGCACAATTGAGTGCAGACTTGAAGAGTTAAACAACGTGCAAACAAACTAAAGAAACTTGCCTGAGAAATGGACTAACTTTAGAGAATGCAGATGATATTAGTATTACAGATTTATATTTAATGGTAACTATTCTTTATATTTGATTCGTTTAATAAGCATTATTTCATTCTTAAGTATGCATACCCTATCCAAGCTATTTATCTTGGGGTACACCCTAGTAACCCAGATACTCCACCCTAATAATAGATAATGATATCATTTAAACCTAATACATTTGTATTGTATAGAACCTTAACTGACAATGCCAGTGGCAGATTCCCCACCCCTTATATTTCAAAATTATAAAAAAATTGAAGGAAAAAATGAAATTATATTCAATTTTAAATGTAAGGGTGCCATATCCAGCCACCTACAGGTGCCATAATCATACATTTTGTGTGTTTGTAAGATGGGCATGTATTCCTTGCCTATTAGTGTGCTATGCTACTTTTTTTTCAATTTTTGCAGATTTGAAACCCAGAACTATGAAACTGAATGATAATCATGTATTGAAAAGTTGTAAATTTAAATATTTTGGATTTTTTTCTCTACAGAGTTATCAAAAATAGTCATCTGAGTTGTATGCTCTGATAAACTATGGAGAACTATGCAAGAAGATTAAAACAGGAATGAATGAGTTAGTAAATAATGGGTAAGTAGATAAAGTTTTATTTGTGGATCAACAAAAATTTATGGTTTAAATCCCTTGCTGTGCATTTCGCTTGTGTCCTTGAGCAAGGCACTTTATCTCTATTACTCATAAATAACAAATGACAAAAAAATAACAAATAACAACATGCTATACAGGAATTGTAAAGCTTGGATTGCTTGGAAAAATAATAGTAAAATGAAGAGAATGCAGGCCTGGGTTCACTCAAATTGTTAAAAATCATTAGCCAAAACTTGCTGACCGGATCCTGAGATGTACAAGGGGGAGGGGGAGGTGATCGAGACAACACTACTCTAGGGGGGTCCTACAATATTTTTCTCTCCCAAAAATGCCTAAAATAAACCTCTGAGGCATTTTTTGGGAATCAATTATTTGGGGGGGGGTGGGGTTTCCCCACTCCTGCCTCGATGAGGGTACCAGAAAAAAATCTATTGTAGGTTCAGGGAGGTGGGAGGTAGGAGAGAGTTAGGGTTATTATTTGATAGGAAAATTAAAATTTTTAGCACACCAATAAATGATGTACTTCGAAAGTTTGCTGAATATGTACGCCTGTCATCACAAAAGTTGAAAAAATTATGTATGCCTAGGCCTATACAGTATTTTATTTTTAGTTTTGAATGATATCGGGGTGGGAAGCTAGTGGTAGTTTTACTAGACTACAGTGTATTCAAAATTGGCTTGGGGCCCTACTAAAATGCTAGGCTAGCCTTGCTTGCGAAATTATTCTCTCTACAACACAAATACGACCCTCACGGTGCATTATTAAATTATTTCACACGTATTTTACGTATTTGATGATAACACAAAATCACTGATTAATAGGCCTAGGCCTACTGCAGGGGTTTATTTAAGAATTTGAGTAGCAGGAGAAATTTGAAAGTAACAGGAGAGTAAATTGAAATAGGCCGGGGGTATAGGGGGGCCGCCTAGGCCCCCATCGCGGTCCAGGGGCAGAGCCCTATCGGGGGTCAAGGGGGCGGAAGCGCCATTGCGCTCCAGGGTTTTAGAGTCTTTTAAGCCCATTTGATGGCATTTCTCTACATCATTTTTTTTTAAACAGTTTTTCAGAATCAATTATTGAGCTCTAAAAAAGTTGATATTTTTACATATTCTTCATACATAGGCCTACCTAGCCTAAATAGATACTGTAAACCAGAAACTTTCGCGAATTGATAATTTCGGCCGTTTTCGCGACATTAAACTTTC